CATACTCATTTTGTGGAGGCTGGGCAAAACCTGACCACTACTGGGGCAATTGCTCCAGTAGCATGTTAGCCGAGGCCCTGGAACGTCAGTGTTAGAAAGTTCATTAACAATTTTATTTAGAATAGTTTTATTCAAGTCGGTATGAATCCGACTTGACAAGTTACTAGGTGGGTGTTGCAGCGTTATTAATTCGGCATGTAATTATAAATCATTGCTAATTTCGATCCGGATGTCGTTATTCAATGCTGGCCTTTGCGTCCTCAGAAAAGTTGCTTATAGTCACGAAGGCTTGCATTGACCCATACTTTCCATTTTTCAGCACCATTATTCGCCGTAGTTGACCAGGTGTTTTTCTTCAGCTCTCCCCTGAATCCTTTGGCTTAGATCTGGCGTATCACCCGTGCATCGCAAGACGCACCTATACCACACAAAAGTTCACGATCCCCACGAACCCACATCAGCGTCCGTTCGCTTGGTGTGTGACCCATTGACCTTTGGCCGCGACAACTGCCAGCTTGCTGGAGCTTCCCTCCCTACACCTACACGCGCTGCCCCGCCCGCTCCCCTCCCTCCTTCTCGGGGTCGTGTCACGGAGCCCGGAGGCTTCGGCTTACGCTACTATCAGCCGCTGCGTAGCTCTCACCGAGCGCATGGGAATACGTAGTCTCTCGATGCGGATTCAGCCAACTACCGGCTCGAGACCCCAGCGCCGCGTAGTGGCGACGGTACATTCTTTTTAGACATACTGTACGTACAGTCTGTCTTAAAAGTACCGCGCAAAGTGACGGTGGATCCATCAAGCCTGACCGATGAAGGTCTGCTAGATTTGAGTCACCGAAGCAATGAACATCCTCGTCCATTCCCCAAGGTCAATTGGTTCGGTGACTTTCAAATCATAGCAGGTCCTTCCTCGGTCAGGCTTGATGGATCCACCGTCACTTTGCGCGGTACTTTTAAGACAGACTGTACATTGGTGGATCCAGGGAGGGGAAATTGATAGTTATTACTCTCCCGCAACGCCCTAACTCGACAAAAATATGTTTTCTTATAGTAAAACCCTTACAAGTGTCTTTGCTTTCAACTGCTCAGCAGCACGTACGTAGGGAATAAAAATCCGAGGAGTTTTCGGATTTTGGAGACTTTTTTTGGGGGGGTATGTACCAGCAGTCTCGAAACCGCCTTTCTGATCCACTTATGATATCATCTCGGTCTGGGATCTTGCCCCCCCCCCCCACGCCAGAATCGAATCCGCCGCCACTGGTTCACTGGCCGACAGAGAAGCCTGGTCTTACTCGGTTTGTGCTTCACCCAGTGCTTCTGAGCCGCACTGGAGCGTACACGACGTCCACTGCCCGCTGGAGACTAGCATTGCTATTTTTAGACCCATGAGCTGCGCCTTGGGCTTGTAGCCCCCGAAGGGTGTTATGAAACAAGCGAGCTTGGCGCACTCAGGTAGCACCCGTGTCTGGTAGAAGGCAGGAACTCTTAGTCACCAATGGCAAATAATAAGGGGATGAAATAGAACAGTTTGATTTTTCTTATAGTTCGTTTTTTTTCAAAAGGACTCTGGCTCCAAGTATGTTTTTCGAAAAAGCACGCGTTTTAGCGAGCAAAACGAGCAAGAACTGAACCTGAGAATCTCGAACGTCGCCTTATTTTAACACGAAGTATTCCCGATAATTTCCATGCGTGCGTTTTGGAGCCAGCTATGAGAACAGTGGTGACGTCATGCTGTGGAACTTGTATTGCAATGTAACGATAACTATCATGGACGAAACCGCGTACTCGATTATAACCTCGACAACAGTGAAAAACGAAGTTTCCCCCAAAGTCGTCAAAACTTTGTCCCATCGTACGGACATTGGGTGCCTGCTGCCACCAGTGACGTCATCATAGTATGCTAATTTTTAAGGACACAATTTCCGGGTACTTACCGTGCACAATTTGAAATCGAATATTTTTTCGGTGACACTTGTGTGAGTGACACTTGTGTATAATATGTCAATGTTTTACCATGTTAACTAAGCTCTAGATGGCTGAACACAATACTGAGATAGCGGCTGGGAGCTGCAGTGAGTACGTGGTATACAGCCCACCTCGCCCATCTCCCCAGTCTGAGTTACACAATACTGAGATAGCGGCTGGGAGCTGCCGTGTACGTGGTACAGTGGCGCAGCCAGGGGGGGGGGGGGGTCAGAGGGTCAGCTGACCCCCCCGAAATTTCTGTCAGGGGCCCGCTCGAGAGAGAGAGTGAGAGAGAGAGAGAGAGAGAGAGAGAGAGAGAGAGAGAGAGAGAGAGAGAGAGAGAGAGAGAGAGAGAGGAGAGAGAGAGAGAGGTCCTAATCTAATCGGACGAGCCCGCTTCGAGAAATGCCCACTGCGACACCTCGGGTGAGGGGTCGGCCTGGGGCCCCAGGTGGACAGGGCCCGGGCCCCCAGGAGAACGGGCCCGGCCCCCTGGGTGGATGGGACCCGGGCCCCCTGTAGATGGGTCCGGGCCCCCGGGTGGATAGGGCCCGGGCCCCCCGGCGGATGGGGCCCCGGTGGATGGATCCGAGCCACCGGGAGAACGGGCCCCGGGTGGACGGGGCCCGGACCCCCGGGTCCCGCGAGAACGGGTCCAGGCCCCTCGGGTGGATGGGGCCCGAGGCTCCGGGAGAACGGGCCCGGGCCCCCTGGGTGTAGGGGGCCCGGGCCCCCGGCTGGATGGGGCCCGGGCCCCCGGGAGAACGGCCCTGAGCCCCGGGTGGACGGGGCCGGACCCCCGGTTGGATGGGGCCCGGGCCCCGGGAGAACGGGCCCGGGCCCCCTGGGTGGATAGGGCACGGGCCCCTGGGTGGATAGGGCACAGGCCCCCGGGTGGATGGGGCCCGGGCCCCGGGAGAACGGGCCCGGGCCCCTTAGGTGGATGGGGCACGGCCCCCCGGGTAGATGGGGCCAGGGCCCCCCGATGGATGGGTCCGGGCCCCCGGGAGTACGGACCCCAGGCCCCGGGTGGACGGGGCCCGGGCCCCCGGCTGGATGGGGCCCGGGCCCCCTGGTGGGCGGGCCCCGGAGCCCCGGGTGGACGAGGCCCGGAGCCCAGGTGAACGTGGCCCGGGCCCCCGTATGGATAGGGCTTGGTCCCCCATGTGGATAGGGCCCGAGCCCCCGGGTGAATGGGGCCCGCTAGGGTGACCCGCTTGCTTCGCAACGCGAATAAGGGGTATTTTCGATCGGTGGGCGTTTGGTTGGTCTTGTGTCTGTGGGTTATGTATCCATTACGGTCGATTGCCTTTTGACGGCTAAGCATTTTGGTTTTGGGAAAAAATATCCATCGCATCGAGGTGCTCGTGTCTGATAATAACCATGCGTTCTACTATAGAACATGCCAAGTGTATTTCATGACATAGGTTGGCGTAGGTTATTGAAGAGTGAAAGCCATCGATGAATTACTATGTAGAGGTTTGAAACATTTATATTCTTAAGAATATTGTTGCTCGTCATGCAAAAGCGATGATTGGACCTTGGTCACAATTGAATGCTCTTCCAATCTATGCCCATTTCAATTGTCAAACATACCAGGTTATGTAGCAAAACCCCTGTAATTAAGTAAGTCATAAGCAAATGCTATTTTCTCCAGCAATTTGTTCCACCTTGTTTTTTATCAATTAGCTTTTCACAATTTTCCCATGAGAGGCGGTAGGTACATTTCTCTTGCCAACAAGCGTTGTTTGAACCCGCTCCGTCTGACAGTCACCCAAAAATAGCATTAAGTCCAAAATCCGTCCAAAACGTCAATTTTTCAAGCATAAGTGCCCTCACGGGTGCACGTGGCGCGTGCCATCCCTGCACCGCACACCATTCGATAGCCCGTTCGATTCTCATGCACGATACTGTGTTCCTCGTGCCGATCGGACCCACGGTTACCGAGATACTGCACGGGGACCGGACCCGTGTCGGGCAAGTTGAGCCATTGTCGCCCATTTTTGCAAGCCGATTTATGCATGTAAAGTCTATGACGCGAATTTGCACTTTTTGAGCACGCACCATGTGCTCACCACCGGCCCGATCGAGCTGTGACTCTTCACAGGCACGTTACCCATCCTTGTTCTATAAGTTGCGCGAATTTCAGCGCACTATGGAAGTTACGTCGCGATCAGCCGCTTTTTTACGCGAGTTCTTCGCGAAAAAAAACCTTAGGGGGTTGCATCAACCCCTCCCCCCTGTGCCGGCGAGGGTTAAAACTTCTTACGACCGAATTCACGTAATGAAGAAGAATAAAAGCACAATCTACTACAGCAGCCAATAGATGACTTAGGACAGGCACATGGGACTACTTTTAAATCTTGTGCGACAGAAGCAGGCAACAGTTCCGATTGCATATAATATGCTATGCATATTGCGGAATTGGGGCTCATATCGGACTCGAAAGATACGAAGTCATACGTCATAGTAACATATTTCTGTCGTGGTCAATTTGCGTAAAAAGTGAAGACCGGGTGATTACCGAGCTACTGTTCTATGCAAATTTTCTGATTCAAACTCGCTCAGGGTTATCGTGCAGGTAAAGGGGGCCCGCCCAGCAGAATGCGTATGAAATATGGAGAGATTCTGAAAAATGGGTGGGGGCCCGCACACTAGGGGGCCCGCTTTGGAAGCGATGACCCCCCGAAACGAAATCCTGGCTGCGCCACTGACGTGGTACGTGCAGTGTACGTGCAGTAGAGATGTCAATCGGATACCAACTTTTTGGTATACCGATACCAAACCGATACCAACTCGGTATTTGGTATTTCAATCCTAATGTGTTTGGTATTTTGTTGGTATCATGAACCCTCGCTAATGTTTAAGAGGCTAAGAAATCGGTAAAAAGTTGGTATTTTCCTTAATGTTCCGAAGTTGGTTTGGTTTCGGTATTTCTCCACAGTTTTGGTTGGTATTTGGTTTGGTATCGGTATTCAGATTTTCCGTAATTGACATCACTAACGTGCAGTGTACGTGGTATATACAGCCCTGACCTCGCCCATCTCCTCCTTTTGTCTCATGTGCGCCTCCAGTTTCCGGGTCAGACTTTTCATGTTGGCATTTTTGAGGCGCAGCTTCTCCAAAAGGGCGTCGCGAGTCTTGTTGAGCTCATCAAAGTGGCGTTGCACCTGAAAACGACAAAACATTTTTCATTGGAAAACAATCCTCCCCGTGGTCCATGGCAAAAAAAAACTTTGCTGACCTTTGATGAAGTCACATGACCTTACAGCTGCCCAATAGCAAAACAAGCCTCAAGGTAGTCAAGGTTGATCGTATATGAAGTCATTTATGGTATATGGGGCCATTCCGACGCATTTAGGTGAAGAAAAAAAACAGGGAGTTGATTCCCCCCCCCCCCCCATTGACTTATAATGGGGAGGCCACGAGATTGACCTGACCTTAGGTCATCAATATCAAAACTACGAGATAGACAAATTGTAGCTATCAATGTCCTATCTACATCCTGCGACTTTCAAAGGCCTCCGTCATCTACCGTAGCTCTGACACGGTGACAAAGTTGCAAAAAAGTGATTTGATGCTGAATCATTCGGAGTGACCTGGTGACCTGACCTTGAAAGGTAAGAGGTTCAAACTTGCACACCATGTGTAAAATTTAGGACGGAATAGTCATGATAAATGTCACGGCGCAACGCGCAGCGGTTTTCTCGCTATTTACGAAAAACCGCAGGGAGGGGTGTTTAGCCCCCTCCCCCTCGGTGCGCGGGTTTAAGTCAATAGGGGAAATATAGAAGCATCTATTTTGGGGCAAGAAATGATTCAAGACCACCCCAAGCACATGGAATCAACCTTCCATGCACACCTTGCGACAATTGATGCAAAATATTTGCATTGTTGACTTTGCGTGAAGTCATATGACATCAGCCGTGAAGTCATATGACACCAATGTAACGCCTTTTGGGGCGACTAACGGAGCGAGCGAGAGGGTGAGCCTTGCACGTGCGAAATTTCGTGGGGGTACCTCCAGCTGACTTGTGCACGGCACCCTACTAACCGGTCTCTAGCGATGTGCCAAATTTGAGCACAATCGGCCCAGCCGTTTTGAGATCTGGACTGGAAGCGACACCCTGCACGTGCACACGTGCGCACGTGCAAAATGGGTCCCAACTGACTTTTGCACGGCACCCTACTAACCGGTCCCTAACCATGTGCCAAATGTGAGCGCCATCAGTCCAGCCGTTCTCGAGATCCGGAATCGACCCCTGCACGTGCGCACGTGCAGCAGCACCCCAACTCTGGCACATGGATATGCATTGCCTAGTGAGTGCCTACCTACATGCCAACTTTCAGCGCAATCGGCCAAGTAGTTACCGAGATATTGCAACAATTACAAAAGTGACACCTCTTCGTTTTGCACGTGGCACGTGCATAAGGGGTCACCCACATCATCGGGAATAGTCCAATACTTGGTAGAAGGAATGAAGCTACCGTACAAAAATTACCGCATGTAAATCGGTCAAGTGGTTGCTGAGATATAAGCGCCGCAGAATCGTGACCACGGCCGGCCGGCCGGCCGGCCGGCCGCTCATACTCAGAAATTTCCGTTATTCTACGTAAGACTCCGCTCGCTTCGCTCGCTCCGTAATCATTAAGGTCATCGAACTTTTCCCATCTGTGGGAACTCCATTCCTAAACGAATTGAGCTAGCCAGTTGAAAAAGCCACCAATTGACTCAGAAAGACCTGCCACATCGCACATTATGCAGTATGGATTATTTTGACCAGTTTTGTGACCTGAGTGTAAGTGGCTTTGACCTGCTCTTGATCTGAGGTCAACACACTAAGTTGATCTATCCCAAGCAAAAAGGCCAGGCCAGCTCACTAAACTGAACCATTTGACGTGTTCTGAGCAGGGAGAATACTAGGGTGTCAAAATCGTGACTATGTGACAATATTTGGGTCAGTTATTCACCAAAAATCGAACTATACCTTGGAGCATTTGACATGACTCCAGAGGTCAGCGACTAGTCTGACGCTTTAAAATCGGGTACAAGTCGCTGTGCTTTGTAACGGCGCAGCATGGTCATTTTTTTAGCGAGGTTCTAGCTTAATTTGGGGCAAAACGATGACGGGGTCGTAGTGACCCCCCCCCCCCCCACCCACATGTGGGAAAAGATAAGTCCGGATACGTTCACATATATTGCAGATAAGAGGATCCAGACATATTTACAACTGAAGTATAGGCGTGGAAATAGTGAGCACCAAACACAATCTCACCGTGCACCTGGCCAGAATTTTCTCAGGATATTTGTGTTTATATATTGTCTGTTTATATTACAGTGGAATCCGCTTAGACAAGGTGACAATGTGCACTGTAAAAAAATGTCACGAGCCAATTCTATGACAAGGAGTGGGTTACACGGTCGTCCATTGTACCTTGCTGTTATATATAGGGACATTATCAGCCTGAGGGTTGTTAGTTAAAGAGTGGCCTCGTGAAACGATTGGTTACAAACGGTAACCTAATAACTTAAATGCTTCCCTAACACACCTTCCTGCTTATCAACAGATTTCGCGCTGTGTCGGAAAACTACGCATAGTCTCATAATTAAATCCGCCAGAAGCTTGTTGCATGCTAGTTACATGCGTGTTTCATTATCGTGTCATATTATTATTATGTCGGCTAATGAGGCACCGCCCTGCACGTGCTTTAAATATAATCCTGCGCACACGCCGCCTAGTCGGAAACTCATCATCGGACTAGTCCTGGTAGGGTTTTCGTGTTGCCGAATGAGGCGAAACGACTTTGATTCGGTAGTGCCTCATAAATCCCTGCTTCGGTGAACAGCGACGAGTCTGAGACTGCTTCTAAAACGCGTCCTTCACTTCCGGCGCGGGGCCGTCATTTCCGGCCGCCATTGTTCAGTTCTGCGGCTGCCGGCGGTTGGTGCGGTTGTGTTGTGGCACGGTGCGTTGTGAAGTTCTCGGGCTGGGATATTTCGAAGGTACGTTATATTGTATGATATTTACGTAGCAATGGGGGACATTTTATTTATTTTGTAATATTCTGAACACATGTTGCGTCATAGAATTCACCCCTTGACCGTTCTGGGCCACTGTTTCGTTTGAATTCCGACTGTTGGAAGACGGACTTTCTTTCAGTTGCTGTCTAGCCTTTTTTCCAAATGTGTAAGCTACACACATTGATTTATCCTATACAAAAGTCAGAAAAGTCAGTTGATGTAGATAATAATGCCATCCTCACTGATATTTTAAAATCAGCAGTTAATTTTCTTTTCTGTTTGCAGAGTTGCTTAAAGTTGTGGGAGACTGAGGCATGAAGGTATACCGGAAGCCAGCGATATTTCTGTTGGTAAGCCTCGCCCAGAAAAAAAAACTTGCTTGAATCTGCAAAGTATGGCAAATATTTGATGGACTGCACAGTGCACAATGTACCTGACATGGCAGGATCCAGGGTTGTATACGACTCAAATTTTTGGTGAGTCGATTCAGAAGAGATTTTTCTAAAATTGAATCGACTCGACTCTGATTCAAAATTTCTTAACCGAAATGATTCGATTCAACTCATGACTCAAGCATGACAAAAAATATATGATTCGATTCGACTCATGACTCAAACATGAAAAACATTTGATTCGACTCATGACTCAACATGACAACAAATGTTGATTCGATTCAAATTATGACTCAACCATATTTTCAGTCAGACATGTGCATGGATCCGGGAAAATGGATCCGAGATCTGATCCCATGTATCTGGATCTGGGATCCACTCAGATCATAGATCCGACTCCTAGATTTTGTCGGAGATTCAATGAGATCATAGATCCGCCCTCCTAATTTTGTCAAGAGCTCCACTGAGATCATAGATCCGGCCCCCACATTTTATCACAAGATCCACCAAGATCACAGATCCAACATCCCACCTTTTGTCGAGAGATCCACTCAGATCATGGATGTTATATTAGATCCTGATTGTACTTCTTTACTGGTATAAAAAGATATACCAAAGCATGGTTATTATGCATGCTATCACTATCAAAATATCACATATTATGCAAATTTTTCAAAAGAATTTGTAAGCAAAAAACCCATACTTGCATTATGGGAATGCAATAATGTGAATGCATTAATCAATAAACTTATGTAAATATTGCAGTGAAATATTCAATACCAACTGTTCAAAATGTGGCAAGACGTAGGTATAAGAAGCAGGGACTTCTTTGCAAATATAAATTGAGTGTTGACTGTTGACGTGAATATATAACATGTCAACACTAGAAATAGGGCATTGTGAATTGTGATGAAGTTACAACAAATGAACGTGCACTAAAAATAACTTTTACAATATCACCAGTTAGTAGTTAGGTAGGTACATCACAATCCACATGAGAAAACCATGATGCCTACCCAGTAATGACTATTGACCACTGACCAGATCTAAAAACAAAACATAATAAAACATGTGGAAGTGAGAGATAGAATGTGTTTCTGTGATTATTTCGTACAGTACGCACTCACTCACTGTCACTGCAACATAAACTCAACACAGACTGTAAACGTGACTACAATTTCCAAGGATTCCATGACAAATCTTCGTATGGCATTTCTTCGTCGCGCGATTATTCGTCCGTATTTCTTCCTCCGAAAAACTTCGTCACGCATTGTGTTCTCCCCCTCTCCGTAAATCTTCGTCCGCAAGATTACGATGAAATGCACCGACGAAACAATGCGAACACCAAGAAAAGAGGATACGAAGAAATGCGCGGACGAAGTTTTGTGGACGAAGAAATGCCATACGAAAATGTGTCGGGATACCTACTAGTAAACCAGTCAAGACTTTCAAAGGTTGTCAATTATTTTATCAAAAGCAAAAACATCTTACGTCACTAGCCCAAAATACAGATTGCAGGTGAACAATGCTAGAGTCGAATTGAGGGTCATCATCGGTCAAATATTAATGACGTAATAAATAAAATCATTGTTACAAAATGTCTGTTCAGACCTAAAATTTGTCATTGTTATTTGTAAAGGAGGTTGAAGTGAAAGTTGAAGTTGAAAGTGGGGTTGAAGTTGAAGTGCTCGGATTGAGACGAGACTAGTTAGTGTTATTTTCAATATTGATTACGCTAAATTTATTAAAGTACTATGTACTAAATATGGCATATGTAACCTTTGTTGTAATGTATATGTAGTCAAAACTGGGATTCTGGACTTATATTTGTCGCAGTGAGTTGATACTTACAATTTACTAGGAATTTTTGCCTATTTTCCAATCATATTTGCTTTCCAGACATATATCCTGTTAATCTGTTCAAATCATGTTGATAAACAGTGTAAGCTGTCGTGACAGTGATTGTGATCATTACGGAGCGAGCGAAGCGAGCGGAGTCTTACGTAGAATAACGGAAATTTCTGAGTATGAGCGGCCGGCCGGCCGGCCGGCCGGCCGTGCGGACGCTTTTGCGAGGCTTATATCTCAGCAACCACTTGACCGATTTACATGCGGTAATTTTTGTAGGGTAGCTTCATTCCTTCTACCAAGTATTGGACTATTCCCGATGCATGTGGGTGACCCCTTATGCACGTGCCACGTGCAAAACGAAGAGGTGTCAGTTTTGTAATTGTTGCAATATCTCGGTAACTACTTGGCCGATTGCGCTGAAAGTTGGCATGTAGGTAGGCACCCACTAGGCACTGCATGTCCATGTGCCAGAGTTGGGGTGCCGCTGCACGTGCGCACGTGCAGGGGTCGTTTCCAGATCTCGAGAACGGCTCGACCGATTGCGCTCAAATTTGGTACACAGTTAGGGACCGGTTACTAGGGTGCCGTGCACAAGTCAGTTGGGACCCATTTTGCACGTGCGCACGTGCAGGGTGCCGCTTCCAGATCTCGAGAACGGCTGGGCCGATTGTGCCCAAATTTGGCACATCGCTAGAGACCAGTCAGTAGGGTGCCGTGCACAAGTCAGTTGGAGGTACCCCCTCGAAATTTCGCACGTGCAAGACTCACCCCCTCGCTCGCTCCGTTAGTCGCCCCAAAAGGCGCTATACTGGTTTATTAGAAGTTAAAGTATAGGTAGTGATAATTTAAATACTGGCAATACAGGCTGAGACAATGATTGCTTGCAAATGTTGGATGTACATAGTTGATCTTTATATGCCTTGAGTTTCCTCAAGTTGATTTAATATTTATCTAAAGTTTATTAATCACATGTAAATCACTTCGACTCATGACTGATTCAAGCCTCAGTGGCAAAGCGAATTGATTCAACATATGACTCAAGTTTCATTGAGTCGATTCAACCTTTGACTCAAACGGCTTATGGATATGTGAATCGAATCGACTCACGACTCATTCTGATTTCAAAGCTTTTGATTCGATTCAACTCATGACTCGAAGAAAATCGACTGATTCTTGAGTCGATTCATGATTCAACTCTGAGTCGTATACAACCCTGGCAGGATCAACTTGCTCACTCGCCTGTTGTAAGTGCCGTTGCGTCAAAGCCCGTGGAAGTGCCCGATTGTGTCTCATGCAACCGTATTATTTTGTGAATGTTATTGGTGGTGACTCGAATCAGCTTTTGCACCACTCCGCTACGATATTGTAATATGTATATGTTTAGATATTTTGTATCGTATGCTAATAAGTAATAAACGTTAGTGTCATGCGGGGCAGCTGATGTAGATAGCGCAGGTGTAGTTACCTACCACCTACCTTGGTTGTTTTCTCTTTTGGCGGAAACACGGTCTCGACTTCCCCTCCTCGCTCGCCCAGGTGTCTGTGTCTGCCGATTCCTTCTTGCGTAGCTGAAAGACGCCCCGAGCGGAGGGGAAGGAGACTTGGGAAGGAATGGGGTGACGGTGGGGCGGTGGGTGGGTCTGTTAGGATCCTAGTTTTACTCTCGCTGATGTACGTTGGTGTGGAACTCGTTCGGCGTAGGAAGACTATGGTGGTGATGTTTGCCAGCGTTGCCTTTCTTTCACGGATTTGTTTTCTTGTTGGATTTTGCTGCTCACATATCGATTCACACATACATCACTCGCACTCAAGACTGAACAGTGAACATTCAACTCGACTAATGTGCCCCGCGCCCTTGCCGACGGCTCGCCGGCGGGCACCCGACTCCGTCTCCCGGCCGGCCCGGGCGCGGCGCCGCGGCGCGGCCGTCCCGGTTACCTGACCCGGCCGGCCAAAGGTCGGACCGGCTCCGGCCGCCGCTGCCAGCCCGCGACGGGCCCGGGGAGGGGTACTACACTACATTCTTCCATTGTCGTGGTAACATGCTTGGTGAGGGCAAACATTGGCTCTGTCAAATGTTGTTCTCCCTAGTTGTTTTTCCTAGGGGTCGCCGCAGTCTGCCCCGCCGCAGTCTGCCCCGACACTAATGTTCCGTGATTATCGCCGGCTCTAATACGGTCCCATTAGTGTCATGCGGGGCAGCTGATGTAGATAGCGCAGGTGTAGTTACCTACCACCTACCTTGGTTGTTTTCTCTTTTGGCGGAAACACGGTCTCGACTTCCCCTCCTCGCTCGCCCAGGTGTCTGTGTCTGCCGATTCCTTCTTGCGTAGCTGAAAGACGCCAAAGGACCGCCAAAAGGAGTCTGGAGGGGAGGTCTCGGACAGCCTTGCATGTATGTAGGTAGGGCTATCGCGGACAGCCTGACGTGTGACAATGTGGGGCCGTCGCGGACAGCCGTCCATGTCTGCAGGTGAGGCTATCGCGGACAGCCACGCACGTCTGTAGGTGAGACTATCGCGGACAGCTGTGTATGTCGGCATGTGAGGCTATTGTGGACAGCCGTCCATGTCTGCAGGTGAGGCTATCGCGGACAGCCGCGCACGTCTGCAGGTGAGACTATCGTCGGTATGTGAAGCTATCGCGGACAGCCGTGCATGTCTGCAGGTGAGGCTATCGCGGACAGCCGTGCACGTCTGCAGGTGAGACTATCGCGGACAGCCGTGCATGTCGGTATGTGAGGCTATCGCGGACAGCCGTGCATGTCTGCAGGTGAGGCTATCGCGGACAGCCGTGCCCTTTTGTAGGTGAGGCTATCGCGGACAGCCTGACGTGTGACAATGTGGGGCCATCGCGGACAGCCGTCGATGTCTGCAGGTGAGGCTATCGCGGACAGCCACGCACGTCTGCAGGTGAGACTATCGCGGACAGCCGTGCATGTCATGTCGGCATGTGAGGCTATCGCGGACAGCCGTGCCTTTTTGTAGGTGAGGCTATCGCGGACAGCCGTGCCTGTTTGTAGGTGGGGCTATCGCGGACAGCCGTGCATGTGTGTAGATGCAGCTATCACAAACAGCCCTTGATGTCTGTAGGGGAGTCTAAGTGGACAGGTGAGGGGATGGGACAGGGCCACTACTGCAAACAGGCGCCGCCGGAGGGGGTGTCTGCCGACCCCTTATTATTTCTCAGCCTTGGCGCCGGGTCGGAAATGCATCTTTGCGTCACAGTCTGGCGCTGCCAACTGGTGTCAGGTAGGTGCGCGTTCCGTGTAGGTATACGGTCGGTGGACAGGCTCATGGCGGCAATGCAGCATAGCAGCAGGCATACGTGCATCCACAGTGTGGCACATTGCCAGCAGTGACCTGACCCCCAGTCGGTCCGCTGCAGACCGGTGAAAGGCAACACCCCCGATCAACGGCAGTCCGACCGCCGGCCACAGGCCCGTCATGGCCTTTTCAAGGGCAGCTGACGTCACGCCGGATGAGTCACCCGGCCGCCCCCGGTGCGGAGGACGGTCAAGTGTCACACGCCCGCGCCTGCGCCGCTGGCAACCACGTGACCATCAGTAGCTATTGTTGCTGCCGCCGCCCGCGGCGCTACCAGCGTTGGAAGTGCCACGTAGAGCTGACGTCACGATCGCGCTATGGCTGGTCGGACCCGCCAAGATGGCGTCAGGGCGACAGGGCATTGGGCGTAGGCCATGGACATCAATACTGATGCCAGGCAAGCAAAGAGTATATAGGGCTAAAAATGCATGGCAGGCTAAGAAACGTCAATGACTGGGGCCAGGCAAGCAATGACATTGGTGGAAAGAACCATTGTAGGTACGGAAGAGGAGGTCATCCTGGTTGGCCGGGCACAAGATAAATGTACAGAAAGTCACAGGTTCATACACTGAGCAAATCACACCGGGGTGAGCTGCTCCCCAGGCACATTGCAGGTGGTGAGACACCTGATTGCAGTCAGTGTGGGGCTCGTTATGGTCAGTAATGTGGCGCACGGCGCCCGGCCTCGGCTAGGGGGGGGGCGATGGGGGCAAACTCTTATCATGTATGCTATATTGAATCGCCGTTAGCGATCACGTGAGTGAGTAAGGTGCAAGTGGCAATCACCACCGGCGTGTTATGGGACGCGGCGAGGAACGGGCGAGACAAAATGGCGCCCGCCGCCGGGGGGGGGGGGGTAATCTCCCCATGCACGCGGTGAAAGCCGTCGACAGACCTAGTTAGGTAGCAGGGAATGTCCAGTAACATACCTGCAGTTTTTTTTCGCTGGCGAGGGGCCATCGCGACCACAGTAGGATCCTAGTTTTACTCTCGCTGATGCACGTTGGTGTGGAACTCGTTCGGCGTGGGAAGACTATGGTGGTGATGTTTGCCAGCGTTGCCTTTCTTTCACGGATTTGTTTTCTTGTTGGATTTTGCTGCTCACATATCGATTCACACATACATCACTCGCACTCAAGACTGAACAGTGAACATTCAACTCGACTAATGTGCCCCGCGCCCTTGCCGACGGCTCGCCGGCGGGCACCCGACTCCGTCTCCCGGCCGGCCCGGGCGCGGCGCCGCGGCGCGGCCGTCCCGGTTACCTGACCCGGCCGGCCAAAGGTCGGACCGGCTCCGGCCGCCGCTGCCAGCCCGCGGCGGGCCCGGGGAGGGGTACTACACTACATTCTTCCATTGTCGTGGTAACATGCTTGGTGAGGGCAAACATTGGCTCTGTCGAATGTTGTTCTCCCTAGTTGTTTTTCCTAGGGGTCGCCGCAGTCTGCCCCGCCGCAGTCTGCCCCGACACTAATGTTCCGTGATTATCGCCGGCTCTAATACGGTCCCATTATTTTTGTGTATGCTTTTTTGTAACGTGGCTGGCACGCTGTCGTGGCTGTCGTTGGCCGGGTCGTCCACCAGTCGGAGGGGCGGCTGGGGAGAAGGAGGGGGGGGGGGGTGACGCAATTGAGCTAGTATTACTACTGGGCAGCAATAGCAGGCGCTAGCTGGTTGGGTTACCAGGCGAGTCCTGCTAAGGAGCCTAATCGGCGTACCGATCTGCTGGTTTTGCCCTCGTTTTCAAACGAGATACCGAATAACGAAACGAGGGGCTGACACGGGGGTGCTCGGTTTATGAGGCGTGGGCTTGTCATTTACTAACGAAACAAGCTTGTACCCTCTTACTAGCTAAATATGAGGCGATTTTTACACGTCGCTGCATGCTCATTTTTGCGCCAGCGGTTTTCCTACAAGGGGCTTGTAAGATTTTTTACAGTGTGTTTTAGATTTTTTTTTAACCCGCGCCCCGCTGGGGTCCTAGATTTCCACGCCCTGCTGGGGGGGGGAGGGTGTTTGAACACCCCCCTTCTAACTCGGCGCCTGGGCCCGCGTAGCGATACGGGAAAGGCGGCGTTCGAAAGAGCGTCAAAAATAAGGAAGAAATCACTTCGGTCACTTTTTTGGTCACGTCACAGGTCAGGTCACCAGAGGTCATTGAAGGGCGAAATTCGCCGATTTATAGGTCAGATGTCGACAATTTCTAACAAATCGATGCACAGCTCGGAAAACTAATTATAAAACAATGCCATACATGAAAAATTCAGACATTTTTTAGCGCCACTGACACGAAAAAATAAACAAAAATCCAAAAAATATTTTTGGAATTAAGACGCGCCAGATCAGAAAAATCCTCACTGTGCATTGTAGCGATTTTGAAAAGGGCATAATTATAGGGTTGCTGAAGAGCGGTAAGAGAGCGTTGGTCAGGTGGTGTTTGAGACGGGGCGTAACCGCAGCACCATCGAGAGATGGAAACGAAGACATGCGGAAGAGGGTGTCGCCGGTATGGCCAGGCTATATGGCCTTGGGCCAGGCGTCCCAAAACCGGCAGACCCAGGAAGACGACGGCAGAACAAGATGCTGCCATGGTTGCGGTACGTAACATAATGTCGAACATAAGACATTTGTGTGTATAATGTATAGACATATACTCTCTCTCCCTCCCTCTCTCTCTCTCTCTCTCTCTCTCTCTCTCTCTCTCTCTCTCTCTCTCTCTCTCTCTCTCTCTCTCTCTCTCTCTCTCTCTCTCTCTCTCTCTCTCTCTCTCTCTCTCTCTCTCTCCCTGTCCCCCACTCTCACTGATGAATGTCACGCAAGTTTTGCAATATTTTAATTGTTTTCCAGTTAGGTTCGTTTCCTCTCGTTTTGCTCGCCGTTTTTGTTGAGTGAGGTTCACCTCATCGTTCTTGCTGCCGCACTTCTAATTAATAAGTGGCATTTTTTATCAACGCTATCCCTTTTTTATTCCAGGTGGCCAAGCAGCAGCCGTTCATGCCGCTCAGGGACGTCGCCACTTCCGCTGGCGCATGGTGTGTTGTTGTGTGTTTCTGGCGCACGAGCGCACCCGTGCCGCCGCCCCGGCTCGTGCCCGAGGCCTGAGTGCGCCCGTGTCGCCGCCGCCCGCCCCGGTCCGTAGCTGAGTGCGCCCGTGCCGCCGCCAGCTGATTGGGCCCGCTGGACGACAAGACTGGCGCGGATTGGCAAAGACGACGCACACCATTACGTTTGTTTACTTCGTAATTAACGTGGCGACTCAAGAAAGAGTTCACCGAATAAATCTCGTTTATCTCATTAAGTACAACTCTTTCATTCGAACCGACCGAAACACAACAGCGCAGAGCTGCACCCTTCCCTGGTGACGAACAGACTGAAGAAGGCCGGCCTGTATACGTTCAAGCCATGCGGGAAGCTACGGCTGCTACAGCGACACAAGGCTGCCAGACTGGCGTTCGCCACCGAGCGTCTGCAGCGCTACGACCCAGACTTATGGAGGAATGTCATCTTCACGGATGAGAAGATCTTTCGAACGGATTCGGAGGGCCGTGTTCGCGTTCGCCGACCGCGGGTATGTAGCCCGCTACGAGGACCAATGCAGGTCTACAAGGACCTGCAGGTCTACAAGGACAGCAGTCGCCGAAAGAGCGTGCACGTGTGGGGTTGGGTTGATGGGCATGGATGTGACCAGGTGGGTGACGGCACGTGATCGCCTGAGGCGGTGGGGGGTAAAAATATTTTCGTCATTTAATGCTCAATGCAATCGCTGCAACTTTTTACAAGACCTTCTCCTCGTCGATGTTTCTTGCTTTCAACGACTGGTCCCCGAGTGATGACTATCCTCACGCAAGAAAGGATGAATGGAGCTAGCAATTAAGCCCAAAAAACATATCGAAAATGTTACAAAACACTTCTTTTGGAGAAGATGAATTGAATGGTTTTGGAGCCTCA